GGGAGGAAATTCTTCTTCGTAAGGCCTCATCATCGTAATACAAGGCAAAGTTTGTGTAGATGGGAGAGTTGGAATCAAAAGTTCTAGGAGTGGTGGATAACTGGTTCTAATTTCTCTGCAAGGAGAAGATCTTAAAGCTATTTTTGTTTTATATTTTTTGTTTTCAAAACACATTCTTGCTTCTTTCTTCTTCACTCTTTACCCATCGATACTACTCCTTCATATCATTAAATTCGCAAGAAGCTAACTTTCCAATAACCATTAGAATGTCATGTCATTTGAGCATATTTTTTTATATATTCTAATATATTTTGGCTCAATTGTTTATATTTATCAGTCTTATTTTGGATGAACCATTAAACTTAGCTTAAATTACCAACTCTACTAATGAGAGTAAATAACAAGTACTCTTTTCTCCTTTCTAAGGTTCCACTGTGTTTTATTGAAAAGGTTTTTAATGAAACAACTTTTATGAGTGTTTAAAATTATTATGTAGTAACTTTTTTTCCTTTACTAGGTTTTTATCCCACTAAATTTTTTCTAATAAGATTTAAATGAGGCACAATATTTGTTATGAACATCCAAGTAAGAGTATTATAAATATTATATTATAGATATCCATATCTCTTAGGATTCTTTTATTCTTAATGTCTTAAACCTATAATCTTCCTAAGAGTTATGTCATAACGAATAGCTTGGAAGGAGTTAATTGTAGTTAATATATCCTATAAACTTTAAAGGCTACATGTACCATTATATACCTCTTTATTTCTTATAACAATAGGATATGATTTTAATGGATGGAAGCTTATAAATAGAAGCCATATCCAAAACATATGTATCCAAGTGAATAAGAAATTTTCCTCCATTATTTTTTCTCCCACCCTTTGTCTTGCATCGTTCTTCTCTACTTTTTATATATCAGTTATATTCATAACATTGCTTAATATGTAATGGCAAAAATAATCGTCATGTTTACCCAATTCTATTCTAGGGTATATGCAAAATAATGGAAGTATGAGAGATTATAAAAATGATTTAAATTCATAATTTAAAATTTGTAAACACATTTACAAACATATTTAATTAAAAATATATTTATTTAAAAATTTAATTGAATTTTCAATCAAATTTTTATGTCTACTTAAACTTTTGTCCTAATTTGCCAAAAGCATTCAGCAAAAGGAAAAAAAAAAATTCATAACATTGATTAATATATAACGGCAAAAATATATTCATAACATATTTACTTTTTATGTATCGGTTATATTCATAACATTGCTTAATATATAACGGCAAAAATAACCGTCATGTTTACCCAATTCTATTCTAGGGTATATATAAAGTAATGGAAGTTTGAGAGATTATAAAAATGATCTAAATTCCTAAATTAAAATTTGTAAACACATTTACAAACATATTTATATTTATTTAAAAATTTAATTGAATTTTCAACCAAAATTTGTATGTCTACTTAAACTTTTGTCCTAATTTGCCAAAAGCATTCAGCAAAAAGAAAAAAATAAAAGAAAGAAAAGAAAACTCTTTAATTCTTTTCTTTTTCTTTACTAAATGAAATTCATTTAACTGGAAAAATAATAATATAATTTAAAAATTTATTAGAGCGAGAGGTAAATTAATAAATAAAAACTATTTTAATATAAATTTAAATACAAAATAAGTTTTAAAATTTTTTTAAAATATTTTAATGAAATTAACATATTAGACTAAATTGTATGTTTTTAAAAAAGAGGGATTGTCTACATAATTAAAACAAACTAATAAAGTGATTAGAATATTTTACTCTTAAACTAAATATAAATAACTCGCTACACTGATTTGTCTATCAACAAGTGTAGAAAGAAAACACTTTTTACATGAAAAAAAAAAAAAAATAACATACTACACCAGTTCTTTTTTGAAACCGGTGTAATGAATACTTTCTAGACCATTTTGTTTTTGAAGTGTAAAAAGTGACTCATCCAAAAGATTTTTTTTATTGAATTGTCATTGGTCACCTTTCTACAAAGATTGAAAATAGATATAAAAAATATATTTTATAATAGTGCATCAATTTTGTAAATGCAAATCTAAATACGCAATTAAAAGGTGGCCAACTCATCAAACCACAGCAACACATGCTTTTTTCTTAAAAAAAATTAAGGATGTTTTTCATGTGATTTTTAATTGTTGGCTCCCCGCATGCTATAGCTTCTGGCTACGTCTGTCCCATAACTTCATATGAGACTCACGGATTACCTCAAAAATTAGGTTTTTCATAGCATTGTCTTTCAGCTTCACCATCCAATTGTTTGTCCCGTTAAGATGCATTGCATTATTCCTTGATTCCACATGGTAGAGAAAATATATTAATTTTGATTATATTTATGAGGTATTTTATTATTTTCAATACATTGCATTATTCCTTGATTCCACATGATAGACAAAAAATATTAATTTTGATTATATTTATGAGGTATTTTATTATTTTCAATACATTGCATTATTCCTTGATTCCACATGATAGACAAAAAATATTAATTTTGATTATATTTATGAGGTATTTTATTATTTTCAATGTTTATCTTTTCTTTTATGCATTTATTGAATGTTAGAAAAAATTATTAAAAATAATTTCTTATCCTTATTAGAGATAAAAGTCAAAACTTATAAATTTTAAGACAGAGTTAATAAGGTTTAAAATTTTTTTTAATTTCAATAAAATATGTTGGAAGTAATTTATATAAAAAAATTATAATAGTACGGTTTAAACATGCATCATACTTCTCTTCCAGCCAATTAGAAATATCCTCAATAAAAAAAAAAGGAAATATCCTCGATAAATAATGAATATGACATTTACCAAATGCACCGGAAGAATTAAATGTGAGCCTGATGAGCACAAACCATCAATCGTTCTAGCCACCAATGTTCACATTCACGAACAACATAAATAATAAGGTCCCATTTGACATGATGAAAGATATTTTGAAGGAATCCAAATCAAAATTGAAATTGAGTTATTAAATTATATTATTATTTGGTGTGTGTGTGTGTGTATATATGAAATTTTGATATTATTTTTATAAAATTAGAAAAATTTTAATATTCGCTAAAAAAATTTTTATTTTTATATCTTTGATTATAATATTAGAAAAATTATTACATTCACTAAAACATTTTAGCTATTTTTTATTTTATATATATATATATATATATTTTGGAGGGTTTTTTTTTTGCTTAAATAAAAAATGCATTTATGATTGATTGTTGTATCTCTGCCTATACTTTTTTAACAAGATTTAGAAGTGTCAGCACTTAAAGTGATTACGTGTACTTGCTTCAATACCATCCCCAAAAAAAATCATAGGTTCAAGTTTGGCATTGACATATTTGTATACGTATGGATGTATATTTTTTTTTAGGAGAATTGTATTTAAGGACTTTCTAAAAGAATTATTCAAAAATAATGATTAACAACAAGTAATCATTAAAAAAAAGTTTCTGTTATCACTGTAATAATAAATAATTTTATATTGATCCTTATTTATGAATAATTTTTTTAGGAGCTGATATGATTTGTCTTGTTTTTTTTTTCACAAGGAAAGCCCAGGTTGAGTGTGATTTAAAAAAAAAAGATTCAGAAAATTATTCATTTCCTCATTGCCAATTAAAATTCAAATTTTAATATTTACATGTCAAATTTTAATATTTACAAGAACTTGGGACTTGTGGGTAATTATTTTTTTATTTGGGATCTACATGCAATTCTTCCTTTCAAAAAGTATAAGCTTAGTTGTAAATACTAAAAATAAATTGAAAGTTGGATTAAAAGACAATTTTGCCCTAGTGCAATATCTCCCTTTAACATTTGAAAGCAGTGCAATTTTATCCTTTCTGTTAAAAAAGTTAAGTTTGATCATAATTAGTTCACCTATAAAATTATAAAAAAGGACATTAAAAATTATATTAAAAGACCCTTTAAGAAAATTAATATTCATAAAGTTCTTTAAATTAAAAATAAATTTCAAGAAACTAATGTTATTTATCTTATTTGAGTAAAAGACCAAAATAACATTTTAACTAACTACTTTGACTAACTATCGAGTGATTATTGAATAATCATTAGTGATACTTGTAAAAATTATTAAATATTAAATTTTTAGTGTTTTATGAGATATTATTAAAATATATTTATTTTTTAATTAACTGTTGTTGTTGTTGTTGCCAATGATGACTATTCTGATAATCATCAAGTAGTCTATCAAAGTAATTGATAAATGGGAATAAGAAATAACATTTGTCTTTTGAAATTTATTTATGATTTAAGGGACTTAATCAGTGTTAATTTTTTATAAGGTATTTATTTATAATTTTTTTGAATCTTTTTTTTTAATTTTTAGGTTGTTTTTTTATAATTTTTAGTTAACTAAAGGTTAAAGTTACTATTTGTTAATGGTAAGAGAAACATTGCATTTTTTTTAAATGATAAAGGGGAATATTGCATCATGAAAAAAGTTTATGATATTATATGCTTTTGTGTGAATAGTTGAAGGATAAAAATGCTCTTTAATCATTTAAAGTTTAGTTGTAAATACTAAAAGTTCAGTTATGAATTATTTAAATGCATTTTTAAATTCATGTGTTATTTCATTTCTAAAATTTAGAAAAGCATATTTGAAGATCATGAAAAATGTAGTTGTAAAATCATGAAAGCCTATTTATTTACAAGTTTTGGTTTTTATAACTAAATTTCCAGTTTTTTAACTGAGATTACAGGTTTAGAAGTTAAGAATGCTATTATTAATTGTGATTTTTACAAGTTTAGAACGAGTTTGCATAAGAATCCTTATTAAGTGTTTACAAGTTTAGAAGTTAAGATAGAAGGACCTCGGTTCTTAAATGCAGCATTGAATAATATGGTTTACAGATGAACAAAGCACACTATATATGTGTGTGTGTAAGGAAGCCATGTATAATGATTTGTGCCATTAGAAATTGTGATAGTTTTATAGATATGGCTTCTCAACCAGGCATTCTTACAGATTGGCCTTGGAAGCCTCTTGGGAGCTTTAAGGTTTTACCTTGTTGCTCTTCTAAGCACTTATTGCTTTCATTCTCTATAGCCTTTTTAGTCTCTCTTTTTTCTTTTGGCATTATCCCTTTAGCTGTTTTATCTTTATTTGTTTAAGGGAGGATGACAATGATGTCTTAAAATAGATAATTTATGACAGCTAGATCCCGACAAAATTTTCTGAAAAATAAGTTATAAATATTAATTTAGACAATTGCAAATGAGAATCCTAATTGCAAATTACAAGTTACATTTAAAATTTAAATGTATTATTTGCAATTAGAACTTTTAAATTTGCAACTATGTGGATCAATATATACAACTTATTTTTCTAAAATTTTATCAAGAATATATACGACTTAGACTAGTGAACCAGTAAACCACCTAGTCTGCTTGCCAATCCGGTTTAGAGTTTTGGACAAGTCAACTTGTTAGATTTTATATATTTTTTCTTCCATTTATTGAACTTGAAGTAAGACATCATTTATATATTATGTTTTTTGTTTCAACGATACCTCCCTTTGTATCATGTTTTTTGTTTCAACAATACCTCCCTTTATATCATTTTGAGTTAATGTTTTTTGTTTCATGATGGTGATGATGGTGGAAATTAATGAAGCACATGACATTAGCCCCATGGGTGGTCCATACCATTTACTCTCTCACGACGTCGTATGAGAGGGACTTGGTTTACTATCTCATACTTCCAATGTTAATGGCGAGGATAGTGCACAGCCAGATCTGGATATCTGTTTCTCGACATCGAACAGCTCAAGGCAAAAACAGGATTGTTGATAGAGGCCTTGAATTCTCACAAGTTGACAGGGAAACCAATTGGTTCGTCCCTATCACAATTACTCTTTATGTTATAATTTTTACTGTGTTTTCTTTGGGAGAATGACAATGATGAGGTGATCCCTAAATATTAAATTAATGATAATGATAATTAAGCATCAGACAAAATTTTTTGAAAAAATAAATTGTAATATTGATTCAAATAATTATAAATAGGAATCTATAATACAATCTAAGAGCTATATTTAAAATTTAAATGTCTTATTAATAATTGGATTTTTTGGATTTATATTTGTTTGAATCAATATTTGTAACTCACTTTTTTTCAAGACCTAATGTTTATTAATTTAAAGTTTTGAAATTTCACTTTTGTTCTCTCTCTCTGTTTTTTTTTTAATATTTGTTAAGCACATGCAAGAAGAATAATCATTAAGAATTAATTAATATCATCAACACATATCATATCAATGTATAAACGATCTATTATGGAGCCATAAAAATATATCAAAATTTCATCCCTACGTAAGACATATATCATCAGTGGCAAAGGCAGGACCACATGTCGCAAGAGAATGCCAGTTAATTTTAAAAATAATGATTCAAAATAACTATTTAATATTTTTTAAAAAAATTATATATTTTATAATTGTCCCCTATACTTATTATCAAAAGTTATTAAAAATATTTCCTTGCATATAAGTCACTAATTTATGATATTATTTATACATAAAAAATCTATAAATATATAATAATTAAACAGAAAGTTAAAAAATTAAATAAATAAGTATATTATTTTCTAAAAATCAAATTAGAGTTTGGGATTTAGTGGATTCAAAACTGGGCTTAAGTTAAAACATTTACAAAAAAAAAAGGGTCTAGATTTCAAAGGGTGCAAAATTTTATGGCTAGAAAGGATAAAATAACAAAATCTATACTACTTATTTGTACTTTTTTTTCTAAATTGAGGGGGTGCATATGCCCCCTCCAAATATATGTGACTCTACCACTGTATATCATGCATCCTCATTTAAGGATTTTTATTTTTGAAAAAATACAATTGTTGATCCATAACTTTTAGCACGTTTTGGTATCAATCCTTATACTCCTTTATGTTGGTCATAGCTTTTTAAGTTTTATCTATTTGCAACGTTAATCTCTTTATTTTTAAATTTGACCATAAAGACTTAACATGGTGGCTAACATGCAGTTAAACTCTATTACTTCTCATGCTAACTTGTTATATTACTTCTCATCCTCATTTAAGGATTTTTATTTTTGAAAAAATACAATTGTTGATCCGTAACTTTTAGCACGTTTTGGTATCAATCCTTATACTCCTTTTATGTTGGTCATAGCTTTATAAGTTTCATCTATTTGTAACGTTAATCTCTTTATTTTAAATTTGACCATAAAGACTTAGCATGGTGGCTAACATGCAGTTAAACTCTATTACTTCTCATAGCTAACTTGTTATATTATGATGAACGACTTCTATAAAAAAGAAATAAGTGGAAAGCAAGAAGAAACTAGCTAGGGCAAAAAAGCATAAGGATTGGTAACCATTTTATAACTCATACAATATCTAACTCATCATAATTTTACCAACTTAACAATAGTAAGAGTTTTGTACACATTAGCATATATTTAACTCTGTCAATGACGATATAAGAACTAATGTTGCGAGCAGATAAAATGTAATAGACTACAAGAGCAATAAAAAAAATGTATAGGGAATGATATTAAAACATATTAAAAATATAGAGACCAACAAATACATTTTTCTTTGATCTTTTAACCGATTATTCCATTAGAGATTAGATTCAAATATATGACCAAATTCTGATATCTGATGTCAAACCTAATTTATTCATTGCCTTATTATTAGATCCAAAAAGCTGAAGTTGTTAGTAAGTAGCTAGTAAGCGACTAGCTACCACCTTTTTCCTCTTTATTGTTGACAAATCATCTAGCATTGTATATTACCAACTATTTCAACAAGGTGAAACTCTTCCAAAATGGCTTTTTTCATGCAGTAAAAACTTGAAATTGGGACCATTTTTGTTTTTTGGAAAGAAATTGGGACCATTTTAAACCTTGTCCATTCATGTATTTTAATCTTATCCATTCATGTTCTAGTTGTAACTGGTGTAGAAAGTTTACTTACTAACTAGTTCAAAAATCAATGTACGCTGCTTGTTTCCTCATCAATTCTAGAATCAGTGTAAAAAGATTGTAGTAGTGTATATATATTCATATTTTTTGTTTTTTAAATCCATTCTTTGAAGCAATAATGAAGTTAAAACTTGATCTAATTTAGTCTTGATTTGGAATTCATATGGTTTGCAGGGATGACAATATTTTGCTGACCGGACATATAATGTACATAGTGTACATAATACTTCCTGAGATTTTTCATCACTTACCCTTATGGAGAACAGAAGGTGTGATTCTCATGGTTTTATTGCATGCTGGTCCTGTCGAGTTTCTTTATTATTGGCTTCACAAAGCTCTTCACCATCACTTCCTTTATTCTCGCTACCATTCTCACCATCATTCTTCCATTGTCACCCAGCCTATTACTGGTATGATACTCTTCGTTCATTTATGATTTTCTTTTTTCACCCATTGGCTTGGTTGTTGGGGTGAAGTTAGAGTTAGGAATTTGGGCCAGCTTGTGTTTTCCCACATTTTTGTAGAGGGTTGGGCTTGAGAATTTGCTAGAAAAATGGGTAAGAAGGTTTTCTGGTTCACGTCTAAAAGCTTTGTGAAAAAAGGTTGGGTTCAGACTAGCCTTTTTTAATTTTTTTTTAAAACCTTACTCTATTTTTATCATCTAAAAAATTCTTTACTTAATTTTAGCCTCAAACAATCAAACAATAACTACTAATATATTGAATTATCATAAAACTAGTCAAATAGTCAAATATTTTATTTATAAATGGTGGTGGTGGTAGTAGTGATAACCTTTTTTTTATTTGTACTTTAAATGTAAAATTGTTCTCAAAATTTGATTTGTTTAATATTTCATAATTAAATTTAATTTTGAAAAAACAAAAATAAAAATACAGGCTTTATGGCCAAGCCTTGAGGCTTAGTAATTTGGGCCAGGTTTTGACAAAATCACTTTTGTGCTCAAATGTCCAAATGAGCTAAGCCTATAAGGTAAAAGCCTGTCCATTTCCTAGCTTTAGACATTTGTATTTGATTACATTGATGAGCTCATCAAGTAGCTAGCCTCTTATATATATCCTTACACATGCCTTGCTCAAAGTATCTAATTATCATTGATCGTCATCACAACTTTCTTTCTTTCTTTCTGATTAGGGGAATGACGCTTGCGGTTTCAAAAGACCATAGAAATTTTTACATAGACAAACAGAGTCACTTGAATTCAGTTTCTAGTTTACAAAAAATAGACAAAATACATTGGAAGAGAAAAAGAATGAAATTTTGTCCTTCTGGATTCAAAGTTAATGAGTGTTTTCACTATAGCCTCCCTCTTGCATATAACTTCCACACACACCCTCCTTGTGAAAACGTCTCCCCTCCAATAATTTTAAAATAGATGGGTTCTGTGTTGTTGGCAAAGCCTATTATTTATACTTGCCAAAAAAAAAAGAAATATTACACGTAAGAACCCGAGCATTATAAATATTTAGATAAGCTCCCATTCCACAAAGGAAGCTTAGGTTTGGGCTTGATCCACTAAAGATTAATAAGGCCAACAGATTAATTTAGAGATAAGTCAAATCCCTAAAAAATGTTGTTGAAAGATATCTAAATAGTTGGATACACAAAAATATATAAAGCACTCCCAATTATTTGCAATTGAGACTCTTTTATTCACAGTTATATAAATCAATATTTGCAATTTATCTTTCAATAAATATTACTTATGATGACCTAAACCATGATTAAATTAATTTTTTGGGATATAAGTATCATTTTTCCTTTTTCGTATTTGTCATTTTGTATATTGATATTATTACTGTTTTTGTTTTACAGCTGTTGCTCATCCATTTGCTGAGGTCTTAGCATATATTACTCTATTCGCAATACCACTATTTGTAACGTTGTTCACAAAGACTGCTTCCGGTGCTTCTGTTTATGGTTACTTGTTTTATATCGATTTCATGAACAACTTGGGTCACTGCAACTTTGAGTTCTTCCCAAAGAAGCTGTTCTCTCTCTTTCCCTTTTTGAAGTATCTCACCTACACTCCATCGTAAGTCTCCTCCTTTACAGTTGTGTGCGTTCATTATTAGAGTATACTTAAGTTCCACACCTGATAATTAAAAAATAAATTAAGGTATATAAGTCCGAGGTGAATTTGTCCAATTAATTTAGAGTAAGTAAGTTTCGATGCATAAGGATTTAAATTTGAACAAAATTATATGTATAAATACATAAAAGACTTTAGATTTGGGTATTATAATTTTTTGCAATTTCAAATTCTCTTTAAATCCTATTTATTTGACATCTCAACCACTTCAATCCTCTCTTTTTTTTTTCCTCCACGTTTTCACCTATCAATGCTTCTATTATTATTTCCACTACATACTTTCATATATATCTCATTCTTGTATTAAACAATAGTGATAAGTCTGTCACTTTAAATATTTTGTTTCTGTTTCAAATTTGGACTCATCTTTTTTTTTTTTTGTCTTCTAAAATTTTTTGCACTATCTAAATAAAGGATTCCAAATACATAAATTTTAAATATAAAATTTTATATTTAAAATTTAAATTCAAATTCATTAATCTAAACGATACCTTAATTTATTTGTTAGATGTTAAAGGCAAGCCTCAATTAGACTTCAAACTTTTCAACGTCCACTACAATTTCCCCGTTTTGAAGGATTGAAGGGCTACTCTTTTGGGAATATTACAACAAATACGGAATGCAATTCAACACTTGTATTTGAGGAAAAGTTAAACATAATTTTAAACACCAAATTAAGACAATAGTCCGTATAGAAATATTTTTTTGCATATTGCATCAGTACTGTACGCCTGTTTGACTCGAGCTACAGAGAATTATTAAGGCTTGTAACCCTCAATAATAGTATATCTAAATCACATTTTAGATGTGCTTTTACCAAATTTAACAAATAGTTAAATCTCTTAAATATACTTTTGTCAAATATAAATTAAAATTTAAATGGGCACTTAATAAAATTTAAACTAATCCAAATCCAGTACTTGTTGGATTCTTTCAAGTAATTTTAAGGACAACTACCCCTTTCAAGTATTTGTATGGGGCAATTTTCAGAAAATAGTTAAGACAAGCCCAACTTTCCAATGGATTTTCCAGACTTGTGTCCATTTATGTAGCAAGACAAGTTAGTAAAATTCAAGAAAAGTGGATATCGATTTTGAAAATTAAATGAAAAAGAAAGTATATGTATAATTTAACATTGAGGAAAGCTGGTATGTCTGATGACTAGGAAATTATTATATAGTGAATCAATAATTGAATAGTAAATCATGACTAACAAAAATCAAGCTTGATTTATGAACCACATGCAGGTTTCACTCACTGCATCACACCAGATTCAGGACAAACTATTGCCTTTTCATGCCAATCTATGACTACATTTATGGTACTGTGGATGAATCCACAGATGAAACTTATGAAACATCTTTGAAGAGACCAAATGACTCACCAAATGTGGTTCACTTGACTCATCTAACAACGTTGGATTCCATCTATCATCTTCCATTAGGGTTTGCTTCCTTGGCCTCCAAACCTCAAACATCAAAATGGTATCTTCATTTCATGTGGCCTTTCACTTTTGGTTTTATTCCATTGGCTTGGATCTTTGGTCGTACATTTGTTTCAGAAAGGAACACTTTCAAAAAACTCAATTTGCAGTCATGGGTCATACCACGATTCACAAAACATGTAAGAATAATTTCCTATGTTGCCGTTTGCTTCATTAATATAGCTCAATTTTGGAAATGGTTCGAAATTAGAAACGTATTTCTGTGTTAAAAGAATTATAAATTTAGCTCTGATAAGGGGTTTTTAAATTTTCTTGTTCAAGAAAGTCCATAGTCTCTAAAAGAATGAGGCAATTACACTTTCATGAAAAGGATGACTAGGATCTTAACAAGACAAAATTGAAACTTATTTCTTGTGCATTATGCAGTATTTGAAGGGAAAGAGCACATCACTGAACAAATTAATTGAAGAGGCAATATTAGAGGCTGAATCATCTGGAGCTAAAGTATTGAGTCTTGGGCTTCTTAATCAGGTAATTAGAAATTAAAAAAAAACAACAACAACAACATAAACCTTCATGAGTTTTTACATGCAAAACATCAAAAAAAAAAAAAAGGAAGAGGAAAAATCATGATCAGGTCCCATTCAAGCAATCTAATTACAATAAATATATATATATATATACATGAAATTACAAAATTACTCTGAATCCCCGTCTCTTTTACTGAAATTATCAATTATTGCTAGATAGGTGTTAGTACAATTGTTCAGCTAACAACTAAACAGCACTAAATTGTTCAGTTAACAATAGCTGTTAGCAATAAGTGATAACGTCAGTAAAAGCACATGGGACTTCAAAATAATTTTCTAAAGGCACAGGTAATTATATATATATATATATATATATATATATAACACGAATTGTTTGGCCAAAAAAAAAATACAACACAAATTGGCAGGAAGAAGAGCTGAATGAATATGGGCAACTTTATATCCACAAGTTTCCAGAGTTGAAGATGAAAGTTGTGGATGGAAGTAGTTTAGCTGCAGCAATTGTTGTGAACAGCATTCCCAAAAGCACAAGTCAAGTGTTTCTGCGAGGCAACTTTAATAAGGTTTCTCTTGCTATATCCAATGCTCTAAGCAAAAGAAATGTTCAGGTAAGTTTTATAGACAACTATGCTGAAGTATATAATATTTTTTTTAACTTTATACAAAATTTTATTTTAATTCCTTAATTTATAAAGGATTTTTTCAATCCTTTAACCTGAATACCATTAATTTCATCACAAAAGATGTATAAATTATACTTTTTAATATTGACAAAACATTTTAAATGTTAATATGTCAAGTTTAATTTTTAAAAAAATAATAACAATGATCAACATAAAAAATAATAATTTGAAATTAATAATATTAGAGTTAAAAGATTGAAAAGATATTTTTTAAAATTAAAAAATTAAATTAAAATTTTATATAAAACTAAAAAACTAAAAGTACAGTTTGCTTATTTATACACACATATTTGGGGACGGACCCACGTTTGTTGTAAAACTACATTTTTATAATAAATTAAAGATAATCTTGTTGTAGCAGATGTTATTGCATACTTGAAAAAAAAAATGCTACAATAATAGATTTTATGATAGATACACACATAAAATTAAAAACCAATAGATATTATTTTAATGCGTAATATATATTAAAATCAATGTAAATTGCTTTAATGAGAGTCAGGGCCGTACCCTGTCACAAATGGGGCTAATAAAGAAATGAAATGGGTTTTGAGTCAGCAACTCTTGGGCCAAAATCTAGTAGGCTTAGAGATATGGATCCAATACAAGGAAGTGGGTTATATAGATTGCCAAGCAAGAGGGGCGAAGGGTCTGAAGAATTTTGAGAGCAATCTCTTTACAAATAGAAATAAATTACATGATTATACAATATTGGTTTATAAAAATATTTTTATAATTTCCATTTTTTTCAAAAAAATAAAAATATCATCAATGCATGATGAATATTAAAAAGAGTAGAATTTAGTAGATTGTTTCAAAAAAAATTTGAATAAATTATGCTTAGCCTTTTATACTTAAGGGACTTGTTTTCAATTAAATCAAAACATATGTATCATTTATGGATTATTTATTCTCTAACAAATTTTTATTGTTAATATTATATTAACACATTGAAATTTAATTGTTTTGATTTGATTGGATAAAATTATATTAAGTATACAAGGTTAAGTATCTAAGTATTACCCTATTAAATTGAATAAGAATTTAAATAATATATGTTTACTATTTAATTTGTAAATAATATTGGTTAATGCTAGTCTTAGCAGGTCAAGTATATAGTTTATTATATTTTATATCATATGTATAAAAAATATTTCATTTAACTATATTTTTAATTTATTAAAATATTAAATAATTTCAAATTATTATTATGATATTTTCCATATAATTTAAGTATTTAATAAAATTTTATTTTAAATATTTAAAAAATTTATCAATAGTATGTAAAATCTTTTATTTAAATTTGGCCCCCCTCTATCCTATTCTGCCGCAGATGAGAGTTCTTATGATGTATTAAAATATAAGTCATATTATAAAGAATATATGGATCATTAAATATGTTATACCTAAATACCTACTTTTAGGCTTTTAAATATTTTCAAAGTATATATAATACCAAATTTTGGATTGTGACTCAAATTTTGAGTCTGTGATATATTATAATGAAAACTTCAGGGAGATAAAATATTACTGTTTCCTATTTTAAATATAATTGACAACTAACTTCCTTAGTAAAGTTAAAAAAAGTTGTTAATTAAAAGTAGTTTAACTTCTTAAATATTTCCCAAATTGCAATAATTTTTTAAATCTGTCCCTAATTAAATAGTTCAACCTGTTAAACTTTGGAAAGATTTCTTTAAATAAAGAGAGTGTGTAAAATAATGTAAAAGTTAACAATTCTCTTAATTTTCAAAAAATTTTGTTTTTGTTTACTTTTTTTCAAGTCGTATGATATCATGCAAGCAGGTGGCTATACTATACAAGGATAAGTTGACGAAGCTTCATTCAAGAGTACTCAAGTCCAAAGTAAGCCTTACTCTCACGACAAACTATGATGCCAAGGTAAATATGGTTATCGTTGAGAATGAATGATTGTTTTACGTATCCATATCTATATTCTTATAGGTTAATGAGTCATGGCTAAAGCTTCAAAGGAAAGCCCATATTAAAAGATAAGCTCATTCAATAGGAGAGTTTTTAAATTTATAAACCCTAAATCACTGGTGAGAGTTCAAAATGTAGAACTCATTATAAACCATACCAAATCTTATGAGCACAAGTTTAAAAAAAGAGCTCACCTCAAAAAGCTATCATATTAGGAGGAGAGCCTCTCATACTTATAAACATCATTTCATTTGTAAGGCTTCCTAATATATGGCTCACAACATAACGGCTTGTATTCACTTATGTTAAATGAACCTATAAACATGTTTAAAATCACTTTCCACTTCACCAACAAAAAAAAACCTCATTTTGAACTAGTAATTGTTGAGTTTAGTGAAAAGAGATAGTTCTTCATATTTTGATGAACTAAAATTTTAATTTCTATTAAAAGAAGTAATTGCATTTTATATTCAATCAAGTCTCAAATAGGATTGCCTTTTTTTGGTTGCCCAAGGTATCCACCGTCGGTAGCAGTAACTAATCCCTTCGCCATGGGGTCTCCCACAAGGGGACAAATGGTTGGCTATAGAGTACTCTCCATCAAATAGGATTGCCTTTAATAAGAAGATACATGTGCACAACTATTAAAAAAAAAAACAACCTAGTTTTCATGCTTTTTCATGTGTTTTCAAACATACATCCTATCTCTATATCCATTTTAAAATTTGAGAAAGTTTTAAACTTGACAGAAACTTATATGCTAATTTGAACTTTAATTTAGCATGACTTTGTAGCCGTAGGTCTTTTGATGTAATAAAATTAATAGATCAAACCAAAACCTAATATAAAATTAAAATATTAAAGATACACTTATGCCTTTTGTAGATATGGTTGGTGGGAGATGGATGGGATGAAGATGAACAGATGAAAGCATCAAAAGGAACATTATTCATACCATATTCTCAATTTCCTCCAAAGAAAATGAGAAAGGATTGCTTCTACCACTGTACTCCTGCCATGATGGCTCCTCTCTCATTCACCAATGCACATGCTTGTGAGGTTAGAATATATATTACCACTATAGTTTGATATTTTTAATTAGGATATAATTCCAATGGTCTTTTGTAATAGTTAAAAGTTAGCTACGTTTTTGTTTAAAAAAAAAATTAGACGGGCTCCACTTTAATTAGGAAACTTACACAAATCTCTCCTAAAATTACAATTTACACTATATAAACTTCTTTTTTATTTTCAAGGTTCTATTTTTCTACAGTCAACCTCTAATAAGTCGATCTCTAATTAACTAAATTTTACCCTTTTTACCAAAATATCCTATTTAATTATGAGTAATCACATTTTCTTGACATTTTTATTTTCAATTTGGTATATTTTTATTTTATTATAAATCTTATTATTTTTAATTTAATATTTTATAAAAAATTTAGTTAAATATTACTATAATTAATTATTAAAAAAATTTATTTTTTTCTAAAGAGAGTAAGCAATAAACAAAAAGATTATGGGGAGAAGATTAATAATTTTAATTTTTAACATAAATTTCAATTAACAAAAAAAATTTAGAATCATTTGAACAATGTTAAAAATTAGAATAAAATAGATTTTTATTTTTAAGCACACTCACTCAATGAGTTTCTTAATTATAGCCATGGGATTTAATCAATATTTGAAAATTATCTAATTACATTTTTCTCCAAAAATTTAAAACATTCCTTTTAATCAAAGCACTCGTTGTTTTATATGTTGTCTTCTCTAAAAATTTGAGATTTAGTATGTACTTTTGAGTATTATATAACAAAATCTCTTACAACTACTTGATTAAATCAAACGGTCATTATCGTGCCACATGAAATACTCATTGTTCTCCAAAAATTATCTAATTACATTTTTTCTCCAAAAATTTAAAGCAATCCTCATGATCAAAACGCTCCTTTTATATGTTGTCCTCTTTAAAAAGTTTAGATTTAGTGCTTTTTTAGTATTGTAAAACAAAATTTCTTACAACCACTTCATTAAATCGAATAGTCGTTATCATGCCACATAAAATGGTCATTATTCTCCAAAAATTATCTATTTTCATTTTTCTACAAAAATTAAAACAATTCTCATGATCAAAGCACTTCTTTCATATGTTGTCTTCTCTAAAAATTTAAAATTTAGTGTTTTTTGAGTATTATATAATAAAATCTCTTATAACTACTCGTTAAATTGAACAGTTGCTATCTTACCAAGTGAAACACTGATTGAGTAAGTGAACTTATATTCACCAGTTCCAAATATGAATAAAATATGCAATTTTAAAAACAGATAAAAGGTCTCTAAACTATTAGAAACATTTAAGGGAGTCTAATGTATTTTACCTTCGGAAGCCTTCATTTAATGTGAAATTTTTCCCTTTTTTCACTTTGGGATGACAGAATTGGTTACCAAGGAGAGCAATGAGTGCTTGGCGAATAGCAGGAATAGTACATGCCTTAGAAGAATGGAATGTTCACGAGTGTGGCTCTACCATTTTCAACATCAATCAAATATGGCATGCAAGCATTCGTCATGGTTTCCAACCTTTGGATATTCCCTTTTGATCAAATCATGTTAGTTTAAATATGCACGAATAAATCCGTGTGTCTGTTTTTGTTTATTTAATTTGATCTCTGTTTCTCGTTTAGGTTTTTTGCTGTGGGTTGATATCATGTATATGTATAGGGGCCACAACTTCCTCTATCTCGTTTGAATAAGGCCACTTGGTTATAGTATCTATCTGTATGTCTATATATATATATATATATATATATCATTGTTGGTCCTCTTTAATTTGCTTCCTAATTTTAAGGATGTGAACGTCATGTTTAATTACATTTTTCATATTAATTATTCTTTTTTCTGATTTTATAGATATCTAGATGTATTAAAATTATAAGTTGCTTCGGCTAGATTGTTAGGAGGTTTGCAAATTTATTTTTTTACACATATATGGGCCTACTGTAGATGCACGAACTTGATTCAATACTTCTTGAAAAATCAAGAGGTTAAGACTTTAACCCCAATAGACCCTTTATTGAATTAACCAACCACTAACTGCTTGTCAGCAGCAGAGCTCCAGCAGCTAGCGATGGAGGTTCGGCCTTCGGCTTGGTAGTGGTATGTCCACCGACGATGGTGGGGATTTTTGTATTTTATATAGACTAAGGATATTGTAGTAATTGGACAAAAAAATATAATTGAATTTGAGACCCTTGGATCTGTATAAGAGTTTCAAAAATTATTGGACCTTGCAAATGATTAATCACTTTGGAAGGGTCGTAATTGATATTCTCCCTTTTTTTTTTTTGCTACATGATATTCTTCCTTTTCATTTATTTTGAAAAACAAGTCTAAAACCTGCATTACAAAGCACAATTTAAAATACAAGAAAAGGGGGAGAGAACTTAATCATTACTACCTTAAGTTCAAAATATAAGTAATTTTTAAGAAAAGTTCTTGTATCAATAAAGTTTTCATTCTCATAAAATATATATTCTTTTTCTTTTTTATCCTTAATTTCAATTATCAATATATTTCATGATGAGTAAGGGATAAATTTACACAATAATCTAGGTTAATAAATACGAAAGGTAAAATGAGGAGGAAAATTTTCATATGTACAAGGTTGCTTATATTTTAAACCAAGATTAATTAAAAAAATGCTTATATTTTGGATCTGGGAGAGTATTTTGGATTTACTTATTTCTAAATCTGTTCTTTTTTTTATTTTAAAAAATGAGAACATATTAAAGCTATTTTTTTTTATTTTTCTTATTTTCAAAACACGTTACACTTTCCTAAACTCCAAAGCATATTACACTTTATTATTAAACACTATTGGCCAATTTTTTAATTATAAAACTGTTTTTAAATTAACACAGTTAAGAAAAACAATTCCAAAAAGTATATTACAAAATAACTTTTTATTATAATTTGGAGAAGGAATGCATAAATGTAGTGTAGTGGTTGTGTTGCACGGCTAGATATGTATGTGGGAACAGCGAGGGATCTAGAAAATTTTTTTTGTTGGGAGCAAAACGTATATAAACAAATATTAATATTTTTTAAATATAATTATAAATATTTATTTAAATAATAAAAATAAATTAATCAAAATTAAATACATAAGAAAAAATAAAAAACTATAAAATTATACTAACTTAAAAAATAAAATTATCTTAATATAAACAAAATTTGTGTTAAAAATAATAGAATAAGTAGTAAATATTAATATCATTTGCTAACACTCTTTTTTGATGAAATAATCATACTCACTTGAAATAAATATTTTCAATATAAATAATAAAAGAACCTGACATTATTATTATTTAAAAATAAAAAGAAGTTGAAAAAATATTTTTTTTGGTTAAAATATATAAAATTTTCCTAAATTTGAGATAGTAGAATTCACCCTTAAAAAATTTAAAAATTAACTACCATAACCTTTTATTTTTTTAATCACAAACTCCCTACTAATATTTCCTAACTATTTTATCAACAAAAGTTGTCATTCATATTGAGAAAAGATGTATAGCACCTTATGTGACATCCTCTATAAGCTAATAATAACTTTATAAAAATTTTATCTATATTTTTCTATTATTATGGGTGCATACCTGTCTTATTTTAACGGAAGGATAAATTTTTATTGACATGATTCTTTCTTGAGTTGTATTAAAAATAATTAAATATTTTTTCAATGTTAGGTGCAATATGTATATCTCGTTAATTTGATGTGTCAAATTTTGTTAATAAGATAATAAAATTATTAATAATATGGGGCTTTGAAAAAAAAAATCAAAGAGGTTAATATTAAAAGTTTAAACAAGGGAAGAGTTAGATATAACTACATTAAAACTCAGAAGATTTTATAGATTTTAGCCTAATCTTATATATCTATATAAATAATATGAACAAGACAATTTCTTATATGAATCAATCTACCAACTAAAAGTTAACAATACAAATAACATTAATTTCATTGATTAAATGACTAGGAAAATGTTTAGGAGTAAAGATTGAATTAAAAAAAAAACTTAAATGATGCTTGAGTAATACTTTAAGAGCGCAGGTGGTAATTTTTGAAGGGGAAAGTGATAATTTCCCCACCCTATAATTAAGAGGTGCTAATGATGTTAGTGGGGGCAGTTGCCTGCAATTCCCTTCAACATAAATTCGTTCTTGTATGAGAACAAAGCCACAAGGTCAGACTTGGATCGTAATGCTCACGGCAAATTCACTCTTTGTAGAAGAAAGTAGGGAGTGAGAATCATTGAGAGTTTTCCATTTATAGCACTCTCATATACTAGAGTAAGGCACACATGTAATGTAGGATGTGGAAGTTACCAAAAACTATTCCCACCAATTCTCAAATTGAAAAATGAGAAATATTAAAATTTAAGCCTCGTTATTATTATGCACAAGGGCCTAGATCTCTCCAATATTATTATAAAGCCCCCATCTTATTGGGTCATATATATTGGGCTTTGATCTATTAAGGGTGAATAACCCAACACTTTTAAAAACAAAACGAAGATCTCTCTTTCTCTCTCTCTCTCTCTCACTAAATGATAGGGCATGGCAACTAGCTCATCATCAGGATAATAGTGCACATGCAATTGATTTCTCATGGGAGCTAGCCCTCTCTCCAATTAGCTAGCAACACGAGTATGATTATAAGTTGAAAAGTAAATACCAAACTAAAGCCATAGATCAAGTTTTAAGTTAACATCAAACAATTAATTATTTTAATTAGGGGTTCACCAGCTCTTGTGTATGCAATAATTTAATTGAGAGAGGTCTATTATTTGATCTCAGTATTTTGAGAGAGATAATATCTACTATTGATGGAGTGCCTACACTCTCCTTATGCTTACCAAAAAAAAAAATTTTTTTTTATGTTTCTTGAGCTCCCCTCATATACAATTATGTAGATTTTGCATTGTTTTTATGCAGCTACCTAAAACTAAGTACCCAAGCTCACAGCCTAGAAAGAGAACAATCCCAATACTGAAAAAGACATCTCTAGATATGCTTTTGAACATTTGAAATTAAGCTCTTAAGAACACAAACACATTTTTCTTTGAGCACAATTAACCTATCTTTTCTCCATGTATCGCATATTGAACATTTGAACTTCAACTCTTTATCTGTGTTTTTGATATTAGGAGTTTTGAAGAGGCTTCTCTCCTTAATTTTGCAAATCAGCTTACTTTTGATCATTTTCCTTCAGCAGTTTCCAGCAATTATATTATAGTAATTTTTTGGGTAATATTGCAGAGACATTTATAGTTCATACTTAGTTATATATCATTAGGGCTAGGACATGTCGAATATGCTTTCTATCATGAATTTATGATCCTCTTGAATTTCTTAAGTCAAATGCATCGTATCCCAAGTTGAGGAACTAGAGAATTTTGTTTAAAACAGCTTAAAGATTTCCGTACCAAAATACTTATACATTCCTCGATAAAATAATGAATATGGCAGAAAACCAAACGCGTTAAAAATTTAGCTGAGACAAGGACTTTCCGTTATATTACCCATTAACTTTCACCTGGTTGTTATCGGTTGCCAATTTAAGAAGAACAATAACTAAAAGTTATTTTCTTTATCTCGTAAAATTCAAGTATAATTTATTATAAAAAAATTATATTACTTATAGGAAACTTCAATCACTCTTGATTCAGCTTGCAATTGTTTTTAGCCCAAAAAAAAAACATACATAAAAGACTATAACATTAGCCATTTTAATTATTAAATATTTTTATTACAAATATAGCAATAGGAAATTTAAAACAATTATTACCTCTGTTAAAAAATATAAGATATTTTTAATTAAACTATACTCTCCAATAAGTTAGTTGATTATCTTTAAATTAATATCATCTTTTCATGTCTGTCTTTATTTAATAAGATGTCTCACTTTATTAAAGATGAAAGTTTAGGTGGTTTATGTGTTAAAGGCATTTTAAAAAAAACTATATTAATTATACATTTAAAAAAATAAAAATATCTTAAATTTTTTAATAGAGGGAGTACTAAAAAATTGATTATTTTTTATTTCCATTAAATCATTTAATATCTATTTTTATGCAAAAAATTTTGGAATATATATATATATATATATATTATGATTTTTTTGCATGCCAACACGTATGCCTTTTCCTCGGCAGAGAAAATTATATTGGAGGAGCCAAGAGGAATAATAATTATTTTAAAAAATATTGAAAAAATTAAATTATAGAAGCAATAAAATTCATAATAATTGTATATAACATTAATTATTATAATTTATTTTAAATATAATTAATTATGTTATGTGGTATAATTTACTTATAAAATTGATTAATAAGAATGGTTTAACAATAATTGAAGATAAAATAAAACTATGATTTTGTGAAAATATATCCAAAGGTGCATGTTTGAATATTTTTAAAAAAATATGATTTTGAATTCGTAATTAATTAACATATATTAAAATAGCAAAATATATACTACTTATTAATAATTTTTTCTAAATTAAGGGGGGTGCATATGCCCCCATGAAATAGATGTGGCTCCGCCACGGTATACCATGCATCCTCATTTACGGATTTTTAGTTTTGAAAAATTACAATTGTTGATCCCTAAACTTTTAGCACATTTTGGTATTAATCTTTATATTCCTTTTATGTTGGTCATAGCTTCTTAAGTTTTATTCATTTGCAACATTAGTCTTTTTATTTTTAAATTTGACTATAAAGACTTAACACGGTGGCT